AATATTGTAATTTTAATTTAATTTAATTTTTAATATTTCTTTATTTCTCTCTTTTCTGTTCCTATTCAAAATATCTGTTTAACAGAATTTGAGGCATTTGATTTTCTTTTTCTAGACTTAAATATTAGACAAAATATTAGATAATAAAGAAATATATTCAAAGAGATCTTTACATATACATCCTAAATATATCCTCTCTATTTCTGCCTAAAAGTACAGAATATTTTATCTTACATATTCCAATTAATTTATTCAATTAGGAACGCGTTAATAATTATGAAGTATTATTATTAAAATGTGCTAATTTTATGCTGATTTTCTATAGCTTATCCATTTTTAAATAATTTTTTATATGTATATCAAGTATCACTTGATTTAAAATAAAATAATATGAGATTCAAATTAAAATTTCATTGTCAGAACAAAAGAGAATATTTTTATATAAATTATATTAATCAATTACATGTCAAGTATATTAAAATATTTAAATAACAAAAGAAAAATTTTTAATGTATTAAAATTAATTTTCTGAAATAGTACATTAACAACATAATAGCGGGATATTTATAATCATAAAATTTCATAAAGATGTGTGTTAAGAAAATTCATGCTGATAGTAATATAATTGCTAAAGGTTCATTAATTGTTTTGGATCTCACATTATTAATTATTAATGGTATCGTCGACTATGATATTTGATGATATTATATTGTATTTTGGATAGATGGCAAATATTTGTCCAAATTTTGTTTTGTTACGAACCTGCTTGAAATTAACATTTTTATTATGTTGTCATATAGCTTCATATATTATATAAATTGTTGTCAAATAATTTATTAAATATTAATGTTATTTTTTTAATGAATTAGAAATTTTCCAATTTATTTTGAAGTATAAAATCGTAATAATATGTAAATTCGAAAGGGAAAATAACAGATAGAGTGTGAAGTTTAACGATTACATTCATTACAACAGAAATTTAAATTATTTAATATGTATGTTAAAGGTAAAATCTTCTGTTTTTGTAATGCACTAAACTACATAAGAGGAAACTACATAAGAGGACTATAATTTCACTTAAACGATTTCTGTACAAAGTAGAACAATAAAATACGCACCTAAATTAGTTCTAAATATTGGTGAATAAATCATAACTAAACGGTTGTTGCCATAATGATATAAAAGTAATTTAATTTGTTAATTTATTAAACAATTTCATTCGAATTTATTTATACGTAATAAAAACACATATATTAAATATTTAAAATTGTTAATAATACTATTATTGGTATTATCGATTAATTTTCATCTGCAAGTTGTGTGTTATGCTACTTACGTCATTGCATTCAATTTCAATGCATTGAAAAGAATATTCGATTATATCCAAGGGATTTATATATGGAAACATTTTAACTAGAGCTACGATCTACTGATTACTCGTACTCATATCTCTACCACCACGTTATTGTGGATGCTTTGGTTTTGTAATTAGCGAGACTCACTGTAATCCCAAGCCCAGTAATCGCCAGCACCCGCCGTGGGCAGCACCGTACTCCATGTCTCTATGTGAGAACAGAAAAAAAGAAAGAACGAAAGTAAAGAACTGAACCATGCGTCAATCATTTGTGAAAAGATCCTTATGCATTTTTCAGAAAAAAAGGAAAAGAAACCATTGGAGCGCAGCTCGGTAATTTAAATGCTGAAAAAAACTTTCACGCGATTGCAATTGTTAAAAAATAAAATTGCCTTCCTAGCGGCAGCTTCACGCTGCGCGAATATCGAGTGTTAAACAACGAAGTTTCTTCGTGCGAAATGCCGTGTAAAGTTGAATCACTTTGTCCAGATAACGATTCGCCGGGAACATAAACTCTTGATTATCCTGTTTAAAATAGATAATGCGAAACGAGTGGTTTATCGTACTTTGTTTTTACTCGTATATTCATTCAACATCTAATCTCTCGATTTTTTTATTTTTTTATTTTCTAAGGAAAATTGAAACAGAGTCATTTCAAATATTATTCAGTATTACGACTTACTTTAAGCAATATTAAGTATAGGCTTGCTGTGCAATGTAATGCAGTATATCAGCCGTCAAATTCTTTTCTTCTTCTTTCTTATGTACACACATATTCTTTCCTTTTTCTCATTGTCAGCAGTGGTAATATTCAATTTTCTGCGATATTTATTAAGAAATCCCGGTAGACTGATTATTTTTACCCTAATAAATTCTGAACTTCCTTTTTCTTTGTGTTTCAACCCTCATTTCTAGCTTCGCTATTTTATCTTGCGCGTCTGTAACACTCTCATCCCTTTCTACACCCCTCCCATTTCCTTCTTCCTTTTTCCTCTATTCGTTTCAACATGGTCATTAAGGCTGGAAATTACATTATATCGCGTATAACGACTGTGCCTGTCAGACACGACAAGGACAATCGCGCCTGCAAAAAGCTGTTAAGAGAGGAATTAAAATGAAATTGTCCTGGTTCCTTTGCGAAGAGTCGTCTTTGAAGTTTCGCGTTCTTCTGGACGATGTCTCAGTAGCGACAAAAGACTCGGCCGTGAGTTCGCAAAGATTCGCAATTATCAGTGAAATAAAGCTTTGAATAAACATTCCACGCTGCAATTTTCGATAAAGAAAGATTGTTTATTCGCGGTATGAAAAGAGACTCTTTTTCTATAGTAAACTTTCAACTCAATATTGTGAACTGCATAACTAATTTTTATTTAGTACATTTACTTATTGCATCAAGAGTAATGAAAGGAAAAAATCGAATATAATTTGAATACTATAATTAATATTATAATTAAAGACAGTTTTATATAATGTACTTTTATACTTTCTTTTATTGTTAGAAAGAATAATAATACATGATAAAATTAAAATATATAATTAATTAATTTTTTTGAACTGAACGATAATTTGCATATTTGTTATGCGAGACCACATGAATTTATCGTTAACATGATTTATAGTAACTTACATCATAAATATACATATCTTAAAATCATACATCATATCCTACATCTGTCACGCGCAGTAATGGAAAATCTGCTAGTAGTAGTAAAATTACCACTAATGTATAGTTGGAAATAACGTTTTGTGAACCACAGGAAAACTCGAGAAAATACAAAATTTTATCGCAGAAAGTAAATCGCAATTAAAGTAGATCCGGTATGTTGCTTATCTACGAAAAATATAATCTCGCTTTTCGCTACTAAATCTGTCGAGTGTACAGCTTTCTAAATTTTATAAGAAGAAAAATCCTGAGGACGCATTTTGTAAATTACAATAATACATTTCTCTTTTTATTGTAAATAATGTTTGATGATATTAGAAAGTGTAGAAGGATTTAAGAAGTTGTAATATTTATAACTGATTGAAATTAATATTTGCTGTAATATAAAACACAGAATTATAATTTATTGTAAAAAATATTATGAGAATCCATTCCAAAATGAATCCTTTCGATTCAAATTTCGGTTCGAATTTCAATACGTTTCTACAATACGGACGCTTAAAAATCTGTAAATGAATATTGATCTTATATTCTCCTTTTACAACGATTAAGCTTTCTTTTAGCTATCGAATGACAAGAACAAATGCATAAATTTTTGCATACCTATTTTGCCTTTCACATTCGCGATTCAAATCCCTTCCGCTATAACGAGTCCTTGTACGCGCACCTCATTAACGAGGAAGAAGTCTGATTGTAATTATCGGTGAAATGTCTTGGAACGACCCCGACTTTGCTCGGTTTCTCTAATTGCCAATGGCTTACGAGAAGGAAAAATCATTCTGGAACACCATCTCGCTTCTGCAGCTGTCGACAATTACGCCTCATTAGGCGACGCGCGTTCTCGCGAATATACGCGTAGGAGTTAACGAGAAATGCACATCCAACGTATAGTTGCGTCCAAGCGTTTTATCATTAAAAGTAACGATCGATCGAGCGGAATATGAGAAAGAGGATAAAAACGGCAACACCCAAAGCACACCGCGTAATACGTTTGCTACGTGACAGAATGTAAAATGTAGAGAAATGATGAATATTTGAAGAAAATATCTTCCGTTTTTACCGAACTTTGAGTGAGCGATTGATATTTAATTGAATGGACGCGATCTATTAATAAATTATCGATCACAAAAAAAAAATCGAAGGACACGAAAGTTGAAAAAGTATTACGGATAGGTTATAAATAAATGAAACGCAGATTGCTTAAAAGTAATATCGAAATCACACAAAATCAATTTGTATGGATAAATATAAAATAAAATTGCAGTCTTGACGAAAAATGTGAAACGTCTTTAATAAATTGTAGTGCATTCCGACAATTTAAAATTGTTGTGGAAATAATTAAACTCTCAATTATAATTACGAAGACATTTTAAGTTTATTTATTTTATTAACAAATCGTCTTGAATAATATTCTAAATCCTTTTAATCTGTAAATAGTAGCGTGTTCGATTCGTCACGATTTATTTATTAGGTTCTGTATATATTTTTGGTTGAAACTATGTACTCGTATTAAGTAGCTTGGAATGCGATTGTATATCTCTTCTTCTTCTTCAAGTGTCATACGCTATCTTAGCGCGTAGGCGCCTCCCTCAGCCCTCTCATATATCTTTGCGCATACATACTGATCATACATAACGTATTGGGATCTACAGTTTAAACACCGATTTCAAACGGCAATTTTTGGAGGTTTCCTGGGCAAATATATTACTCGGTGGTTTGCCATTGCTTTTCGAGAGGAGCTACGGAGTGTATGAAAATTTTTCGGTTCTGCCTAGGATCGAATCCAGGATCTCTAGTAGTATATCAGACCAGTGCGCTGTCTGCTACACCACTCGCGTTCTGTATATCTTTACTCAGTTAAATTATATGTAATGCATACAAACAATGAAAATGTTCTTATTTCTGCTTCATATTTTTATCAGCGATTTTGTTTTATTCTTATTATACTTATCGCGAGAATGATATAGAAAAAAATTAATTTCTTTTTTCCTTGTTCAAACATTTTTGAATAAATGTTCCTTTAAATCATAAAAAATTTGATTCGCAAATGAGTAAGAAAAGATAGTAATTTAATCCATATTTACTTAGTGTCATGATATTTTTAAAGTAATTATTTTTAAATGTAAGTTGATGTTAAATATATAAACATGGCAATTTACAGGATGATAAAGAAGTTTGGCTATAAAATTTTGTGTTTATCGGATCACTAATGTATATATATTTGCAAAAGAACAAATTCCGAATTTTTTTGTTAGTAATATCTTAAATACGAAAAATATAATAACTAAAATAGCCATCATAAAGTTTCCCAACCAAATAAATAAATATCTTGAGATCTCTCACCAAGAGATGAAAATTTTTTGGTATTTAATATGATTCAACAGTAAATAATATTAACACTTCAGAATTTGTTTTTAAATATACATTACTACAGTATTTTGACATCAAAACGATGACAAATAACATCAACTGTAATAATTTGACAAAATTTGTCACAAAATTTTGTCACACAAACTTTTTTGTTACTCTGTATGTATATTGATATCGTATTTAAAAAAAATTGAAAAAGTTCAAATATAATATCAAAGTCTCTTCGGGAAAATATAATATAATATAAATATAAATATAATATTTAACAAAATATAATTGGTAATAATTTAGCTATTTTTTTAATTAGTTTAAAAATTCAGATTATTAAAAGTTTAGATTTACTAACCTTTCTCGCAATATGCGCCTTCATAATCGCCGGTGCGACACTCACAGATCGGTCCACTGTCTGTAGAAATGCAAATGCCTCCATGCTGACATGGATCGCGAGTTTCACAGGCATCTGTCGTATTCGCCATATTGCGTAAACTCTGTAACAGATATTAGATCATAAAGTTATAACAAATGATATCATTTAATATTTAGATATCAAAAGATATTAATAAAAACATTCGAATAATGATACGGAAAGCTTTTTCGTAATGAGATTCTTGGGATCATAAATAATAAAATTATAACTTTGAATTGGCAACTGTATAGTATAAATAAAAAATGTTTACATTGAACGGAATAAAAAAATATTCCATTTTAATTATATTTCCATTTCAGTTATATTTGCTATGCATAATTAAAAAAATTTATTGTATGGAAAAAAGCTTTATGATATTATACAGATTATTAAATTAATAATTAAATTAACGCAAATACATATGAAAAAGTAAGAAAACAAGTAGTGTTACTGTGCATTATCTAATTAAAAACGTTACATTATATATTACAGGAAAACTGCATAAACTATAAATATTCTTTTATTATAGGCGTCTTATAAATGCAAATATGCTCAAATTATTCTTATTATTGCGTGCCACAATTTTCATATTATGCAGCAAACAGACATTTCTGACATAGATATATTAACTGTAGAAATATAATATATTTCTTAACATGAATTCAAGAAAGAGTCAATGTGCAAGTAATAAAAGTGAGAGAGTAATATTTATTTATTTTTTTACTTCACGCAGCACTCTACGATATTTCGACATTAGGCTGATGCAGCTATTTAAATATTTAATTCATTAGAATACATTTCGTTTTTATGACATTTGATATTTAACTAATGATGCGCCTTCTTTACTATTCATATAAAGTACGATAAACACATTTAAGTATATTTAAACTTTATTTTCATGACATTACATAAAATTTTTATTTAAGCAGCAATGTTGAAAAAAATCTCTTTCCGTCTCTAAAATAAATAATAGATACATTTGATATGTTTGCTTGTGCAATATCGCTTGTAATATTCAGTGTGATATTACGCAACGACGAAAATTAAAGAGAAGGTAGAAAAATAACCTACTTTAGTTTGAAGAAGAGCTCGGCATTTTTTCAATTTACATTTATCTTTATCTCGCGACCTTATACGCGGTTCTTCGGGGGCAACGAATAATAAACGAACGCGGTACGCGCCGTCGCGGTAAACATCTTTTTTTACGATTCATTTATCTTGACAGTGCACTTTCAGCACTGCAACTCACTTTGCACCGTGCACTGTCGCGTTTTAAGTCGCGCAAACGAGATTTTTTTCACTCCCAGGAGCCGGCCGCAACCGACTTTTATGGATGCTCTTTGCACCGAGAATAAGCAGGACGTTGATCTTATTCTTGAAATTCTTTAACGTTGGTCCCAACTCGATTTGAGTCTGCAAAATTAGATGGAAGGAATTCGCGGATCATTTTGCTTCAATGTAGGCTAATTCTAAAAATGGACCATCCGAGAGTTATACCTACATATGTATGTATACCTACGTATGTATATTAATTCGATATTCAAAATAGAATAACATAATTTTTATAATTAATTTCTAAATGTTAATGAAAATGAACTAATATTCAACAGAAATGAGTGAAGAGGACCACACTCGGTCGGGACGAATCTTGGTATCTAATGTATTGTGTGGATTTTTTTTATTAACAAAATATTACACGTATTTTTTAATAAAATGGAAATTTATGAAAAAATTAGAGATATTTTTGTATTGCATTTAAAAGTAATACAAGTTTGACGATTTATAACCTGCCACCAGCCAAAACTAGGATTAAAAATTATTTCTATAAAAAATTATATGTTTATAAAAAATAAAGATAAAATGAGAAAATTTTTTATTCAAATTATAAAATTGCTGCATATTGATCTTATTGAACTTTACTATACTATATTATTGTATAATATTCGTATATGAATATGTAATACATAATATTTATTTGCGAAAAATATAAATTTTAATTCTAATCACTTTTTGTAAAGATTATACACCTATACACCTTCTTAATTTATAATTTTTATTTGTTAAAAATTTAATACTATTACATTTCATGGAAAAAAATGATCATATGGTGATAAAACATCTACAACTGTTTTTGCGAAAAATTTGTTGAATATTTGTTGAATTTGGAAGATTAAGAATCAAATCTTAATTTTTGCGAAAATAGCGTTGAATTTGCGTTGAATGAATTATCTTTGTGCAATCGAGCGCCCGCAAATCCGACCGATAAGACAACTATGGAAATTATGATTCTCATCTTTTGCGCACGATTCTAACTTCTATCGGTAAAGTTCGCGGTACGTACCTGTTTGGCCGGCAGATAAATATTTAAACTTCCAATTTCTCAAGAATATACCGTAATTTCTATCCAGAAAATCATTCGCGCGTTTGAGACTAAACTAACAGCCAACGTGCAAGTTTGCTGTATTATTACTTACTTCTTCAAAAAAAATATCGACCTATAATTAGTCCAATTAATAGCAGGCTTTCTTCTTAGTTACTAATAAGTTATTAATGTCGTTCGTTCTCTTCGACATTTTTTTATGCTTGATCGTAAGGAATTTAGTCATTGGAGATGCGGATGCACATGTCAGGTCACGAGGTCAATCGCGCCACTGTGCTCTATTATTGCGGCCAGGTTGGATTTGAGAGTTGGCAAGTAGCCAATACGGCAAGTCGCAGAATACGGAATAGTAATCTTAGCGATGACATGAAAGGAGACGATATGGGTTAACTCCGTTATGCATTAAATGTTATGCATTATAATATATGTCAAATGGCAGCATAATGTATAAAGGAATTGAACTTTTTTCTTATTCAAACATTATTATCGAAGAATATGTATTGGCTCTAAATTCAGACTTTCTCATTTTTTTCGAACAGGTGGTGCATGGAATATGTTGCATGGTTAGTGCAGTTTTACATAAATGCACAATTCCATCTGAGTTAGTTTTTTAAGTTGGTTTTCTTTGTAAGCGTTTGTAATGCTGAGCACGTCCGTTTTTAATAGAAATTTAATTTCAAATTTAATTATAAGTAGTAGTAGATATAACGTTGAGAAAATAGAATATTTAATGAAAATTAATTAGTGATACTTTTTAATATTTCTTTCAAGTACTGCCAATTGAATTATCGCAGATAAAGTGAAGTATTGTAAAATTAGTCTAATACATATTTGTTTCTGGACTAAGATACAGAAGGATAAAAAGACTGAGACTAACGAGTATAGACTGTACGAATATGGCCAACTAACCAAGCCTGCTTAACGAGTCGACCGCATTAATCATATTGAGCCATGCGGCGCAGAGGATTGTTAACGAGATTTCCTGCGAGAAAAGCTAATTGACGTCTAGTCGCGGCAAATTGCATTTTCGATATGACCCCGGCTTAGCCGTTCTAGACCTCTTTCCATATTAAAATAACACGATTTATTATTTCGGGGCTCCGAAAACTGACCGGATACATTAACTATATAATACTAATTGATCGTTTGTTTTAATTAATTAAATGTACTTATTTTAAATTTTGCTATTGCAATTAAGCATTGTTAGCTAATAAGATTAAGTATTATCAAAATTAGTGTTTTAGCTTGTAAAGATAAATTATATGATTTTGTGATTAGAGAGAAACAAGTACTTTTATTCTCAAAGCAGATTTGAATAAGTGTAGGTACTCGGAACAGAATAAAAGTTTTGTATGAACTTCTTTCTACATATTCATGAAAATTAAAAAAAAATTAATTAAAAGTTTAGATCTTTCAGATGGTAATACTGTTCGATAAAAGTTACTTTTTTCTCTTCGAAGCAGATTTTTTTTTCAAAGAATTTTTTCACGCTCAATACATTTTGCTACGCAAATTCTTATACCATCGGCATTATATGTTTAGCGCAAAAAAAAATCTTGAAAATGTCTATTATAATTCTTCGGAAAGAATTTGATTATTGAATAACACATGATTTTCTAAATTCTATTGTTTTACAAATTAACCTTCCGCGTGATTATAGTTACTTTTCTTTTCGAGATCAGTTTACATAAATCAACTTGAGCAATTTACGGAACAAAATTAATTAACTGCAATTAATCTAACGTGTACGACGGAATTCGGTAAAGACAAAAGCTGCATGATGTTTATGAACTATGCGCAGCATAGTTGTGTAAAGTATGTCTACCGTTATACGAACCACAACGCAAGAGAAAATACTCGAATAAATCAAGCGATTTAATTTCAACGGGATTACACGGCCCAATCGGCCCATCCTCACGTCGGCAAGTTTTCCATCCCGGCATGTATAACGGTAATCTACCTATACCTGTAGAGTAGCGGACCGTAAATTTGGATCTTCTTAAAACTGAATCGTTATTCTTCGATTATGAATTGAAAATTGATCATTCTTAGAATTGTTATTGCATATCATATGCATAACCGGTAAATTCTCTGGGTGGCATGTGCGATTCTACAAAGCATTTAGACGTGACTATCACGAAACACGTATAACGTAAGATGCAGAGCGAATCTGAGCGATTACGTATGCGTCGCTAGGAACGATACAATTTTCGTGCGACACGAGTCATCCTGTCTCCGAGGATGCACATCCCAGGTGCAATGTGCATTCTTCCGACCGCAGAGCGTACCGCGAAATACGCCTGGGAACTCGGGGCCGCGGCAACTCTGATAAAGTCGGAAGAAGGGGTCTTGTACCCCCGACCCGTCAGATTGTCGACAGAAACTCGGGCAATAAATAAGGCACCCACTGCGCAACTGTGAGAGCAACTGCATCTCTGCGTGCCGGTGCAGTACGAAACTGCACCGTGCCAAAACTGCGCTATTTGGTTTTGACCGCGAACATGGGAACCCCGGACAACCTCCGGGCATAAACCAGCGGAGATACAGAATAAGTTGCATCAAAGGGAACTCGCTCGTTCGCTAAAGTTTGGGGCGAGTTGCGCGATGCAGTTTACCGAATTAACAACCGCGATGGCTAACCGCGTTAGAATCAATGCAGCGCGATAGTATCAACCTGCATAATTTATTCGTTACTTCATTGA